AATGATAAATTTAATTCGTTAAGTTTTTGAAAGATATCCGCCATAAAAGACAATCGGAACAACCAAGTTTTATCATACAAACGGTCCTTCAAATTAAAAGAAGTATCTGCTGAAAGAAACATTTGTAACTCGGCTCTAAGTTCAAATAGCCTTGTTAAAGTTTTTCCCCGAGACAGCCATCGCACTTCTGTATGGAGCAGCAGTGTTTTATGTTTGCTGCCATAATCTTCACACAATAATGAGAACAATCGGGATTGTAGTGGTCGTGATTTGATAAAATTAATTATTTTTACCGCTTCATCCATAACTAATTTTAGATTAGACGGCATTTGCTTCATCGCAAGTGCTTGTCTATGCAGAATACAATGACTGGAACTACAATTAGGCGCTTTATTTTTCATTCGTGACACTGCTCCTGCTGTTTTACCTGTCATCGCCTTGGCCCCATCTGTACAAATGTCAATGCAATTGTTCCAACTGAGATTATGTTCTTCAAAAAATATATTTATTTTATTAAAAATTTCTTCCCCGGTAGTGTTTGTAAGCAGCGATGAACACATAAGCATGTCTTCTTCAAAAGAACTTTTATATGGATATCTCACAATAACCAGCAGGATAGCCAAACCAGCGACATCAGTCGACTCGTCCATTTGCAAAGCGAATCGTGTATTTTGTAGACGTGTAACTAGTTCTTGTTTGACGTAGCTTGCCAGATCATGGATTCGTCGTGAAACAGTATCGTTTGATAGCGGAACAGTAGAAAGATGCTTTGCAGATTTTTCATCAAGCATACATTTTGTTATGTCTAATACACATGGTTTTATTAATTTCTCAGCGATAGTGTGCGCTTCACCTGCTTGTGCAATGCGATAGCTAACTAAGTATGATGCCTCCGTGGCCTTTTCGTTGGTAGTTTGTGTTACATGCATCATATTTTTTTGACTTTCTAATAACTGATCTTTTTTGCGAACAAAAAATTCTTTATTCTTGTCTTTAGTCTCGGGGTGTACGGTTTCTAAATGTCGACGCAATTTGGCAGGTGCCATGGAACTATTAGGAAGCAGTTTACTACAGAGCATGCAGAGAGGTGAGCCGTTGGAATCAACAAATCCGAAACTGATATAAGATTCATCATACTTCCTTTTTTTCGTCTTTGAAACCGTCGAGCTTGACGTCGTGGCACTCGTGGCATCATCTTCTGGATCGGTGATTGCTAAATTCTCCGCGCGCATTGCTTTTGAACATTCAGCGTCATTAGAAGATGTTGTTGGAACACGTTTAACACCTTTAAGCCAACGTTCCATTCTTCTTTATTTATAATGTTACAAGTCAGGATAGTGGGGTTTAAATAATGCACAATCGTTACTGCGTATAAGAGACTAAATTTAGAACCTACAGGGAAGAAATGTATAAAACTGAGACAACAGAATACAGCAGGCAGTAAAACAATGAACACCAGTTTCTCGCTAGCGAGCTTGTAAGTAGGTAGTAACTTATCGCTCCGAACGCTAATCATCAACTGACGACGCCAACGCGCGATCGCCGCTTTTATACTTAGTCCTAGACTCGATCTCAAATATTCTCGAAAATACTCGAGTCGGCACCTTTGATAAACAAAAAGCAAAAAAAAAACAGAAATTTAAAAATAGCGTTGTAAACAATATCGACTTTATCCTTTGAAGTTAGAGACGAAAGTCGCTAGTTGACAACTATAGCGTCTAATTCAGAGGCGGCTTTTATCAAAGAGACTGAGCGCTTACAAGTATACTACCCGCTCGTTTTAAGTTTGCCGCTGGCGATAGGTATGAGTGTATGACGTTCGAAATTTTTTATTTAATTGTAACAATAAAAATTGTGTACGTTAGATATTTGGGTAAAACTATGACACATTATAAGTTTTGTTGTCACGTGGGGGAGGGTACGCGCATTCCACAGACCGGCAAACTTAGAGCGAACGCGTTGTACAAGTATAAAATTGTTGAGACCAAACTTATGAGATATTGTACCAGCTAATGTAACACAAGCTTATACAAATACAAATAAATAAATAAATAACATTCATAGCGTTTTGTCTCCGCGCGGCCGCGGAGTCCGCACAGCCGCGGAGCGACCAGAGAGAGGTGTTTTGATTTTTTTATTTCTAAATTCTTGCGGAACCCCGACAGAGGTATCACGGAACCCTAGGGTTCCGCGGAACACACTTAGAGTATAGCTGTTCTACAGTAATGCATTATCTGCGAATGTGTTTGTGTAAACATGATAATTATTCCCTAACACATTATTAATCACAAGTAATAAATTTTTAATCAAAATTGTTCTTGACTTCATTCAATTTCAATAAATATCTTAAGAGATATCATAGTCACGGGTAATATTACCGTGTCATAGTCTATATTAGTATTATTGTTGGTACGTTTTTCAGTCACGGGTCCATGGGGTTCCCGGTCCTTTGAAGCGTACACTTGTCAGTTTTTTTATATATTTGTTCGCGCATCAAACCAAAACTGCTGAATTACAGGCAATGCAATGATAATATGTTTATACAGTGCATCTCTAGGAAACATTTCGTATCGGCATATTTCATTCATATCGGCGCATTCTATCAAAAGTTATTACAATTTAAAGCCACGCAGAAGTACAGTAATGTGAATTCATAAAAAAAATAAGTATCACTGCTTATAATAGATGGCACTAAATTATTCTTCATCGCGACAATGTTTATGATTGTTTTATGTTTATGTAGCTTCAATATAGAAATGAAGACATTGCAGAATTTAAATACAACTTAAGTATTTTTTTTATCATCAATACGTTTATGTTATATAATTAGGACGAGTGTATTCCGTGCAGTGTGCCCCGGCATCGGCTGGAGTGACCGGAAGGATGCGCAGAACTATAAATATCTTATAGTTTTTAAAAATTATGGAACTTTGACTTATCCGAATTCCGGCTTTTACAACTGATTTGAAGTCACGGGAGCGCAGTGCTGCCGGGCATAAGGGCTCCCCGGGTTAGAGGGCACCAGGCGTCGGCGTGAGTGAAGGAAGGCTTCCGAAGGGAGAAAGAGACGGGGGCACTTAAGAGTAAGATAACCCTGAGATTGGGGGTACCTTGGTGTGAGAGTTCCTGGGTAAAAAGACGAAGTTAGGTTAGGTTAGTGTTGCGGCCAGCGGAGCGATAAAACGATATATTATTAAAAGATTTTTTAATTAGGCAATACAGGTTAGAGTTATGTGACGAATTGTTCAGGGAGATAGCGATTCCCCCATGACCTCAATTTATATGATGGAAATGGGTTGCGATAAGGAACATCGTTTGTATATGGCACATTTTCGTTAACCTTCACCTTCTTTATCCTACCGGTACCCCGTGCCCTCCATCACCCGACGTCAGTGGCTCTCAATTAATATCGTTTATAAAGAAGAAGGTGTTATTTTAAATAAATCCAAGAAGATCGCTTCACTTCACCAGAAAATCATGTCACCTACGTACGATATGTTATTATTTTCTTACGATTACTCCACGCGAACGAAGTCGCGGGCACAACTAGTTCATATATAAGTATAAAAACTAAGTACTTCTTATTTCAAGATATTCATATATGCACATATTTAGGAATTTATATAATGACTAGCTGACCCAGCGAACTTCGTACCGCCATAAAAATAAGGGTTGGTGGTAGAGGGTTGAAAATTCAGGGTCATATGTATTTACTAATGCTATATCATAAAAAAAATAAAAAAAATATCTAAAATTGAAAAAAAAAATTAGGGGTGGATTACCCTTAACATTTGGGGGGATGAAAAATAGATGTTGTCCGATTCTCAGACGGTAGGTCTGAGAATATGCACACAAAATTTCATGAGAATCGGGAAAGCCGTTTCGGAGGAGTTTATCCACAAACACCGCGACACGAAAATTTTATATATTAGACTAGCTGACCCAGCGAACTTCGTACCGCCATAAAAATAGGGGCAGGTGTTAGAAGAGAAAATTTAGGTTGTATGTATTTTTTAATAACACATTATAAAAAAATAAATATTGTCCACAAAAAATTTAAGGGGTGTGTAACGTAGTGTTCTATCAATTTCCTGGGATAACATTCCTCCTAACCTATATGAGAACACTACGTTACAACACCCAATAGTTTGAATTTTGGCGCGAAGGCGCATTGTAGGTTTCAGAATACTACGTTTCAGGTGGACAACCATTATCACTTAAGGATATGAAAAATAGATAGTAGCCGATTCTCAGACCCACGGAATATGCATATAAAATTTCATAAAAATCGGTCAGGCCGTTTCGGAGGAGTATGGTAACTAACACTGTGACATGGCCGAAAACTATATATTGAGGAAGACAGGAGACCGGCTTCCTTCTCACAGTAATGGCCGTTGTTGGCGGGAGATCACAACACATGTTTATTTATATGAGATGACTTAATTAACTAATATTTAAAACTGTCTATATCAGTTATTAATAAAATGTGAAAAAATAATTATTGCACTGGAAATTAATAATAAATTCATGATGAGAGTAAAATTAACGTAATATATGCACAGAAAAATTAAAATAATACGTATAAGTCACTGCTACGATCGATACACAAATGAAATCAAAAAAAAATGGCCAATAACTGTATATTGAGGAAGACAGGAGACCGGCTTCCTTCTCATCCCTACTCCGTGATGTTTGCTGGATGAGAGGTGACCCAGGTAGACATCTAGCGGGGATAACTGATCGATTGATCGTTGATCGGTTATCGACCGGTGAAGGCGGAAGATCAAATTGAATTGAGAAAAAAAAATATTAAAAATAAAAATCGCGATGGTAAAATAGGGGTTGATTGTAAAGGGTTGAAAATTCAGGGTTATATGTATTTACTAATGCTGTATCATAAAAAAAAAAAAAAAAAAATCTAAAATTGAAAAAAAAAATAGGGGTGGATTACCCTTAACATTTAGGGGGATGAAAAATAGATTACATCCGATTCTCAGACCTACTGAATATGCATATAAAATTTCACGAAAATCGGTCGAGCCGTTTCGGAGGAGTTTAACCACAAACACCGCGACACGAGAATTTTATATATTAGATTTAATTAGGAGCAACTCATTTCCCTTGGCAAAAAAATTTGTTAAGAAGCTACAAGCGTTATACACATTTCTTTTCGGAAGCTTTCACTACTATTGAACTTTTTTAACATAATGTTGAAATACAGAGGTGCAAATATTACCTTAGGTAAGTATTATAATGAGACGAACGACGAATCCATGGATTCAGCGTGCGGGTGCCCGGTCCGTCGCGTGGCAAAGAGAGAAACTCCGAGCGGTTTTTAAGTAGGTTTAAGGAGGTCCCCTTTGAAATGCGTATCAACGCTCATGTTCACTACCGGAGTCGCCCGCCCTTCCTAGCCAAATTAGATAGGAGCCGCCTGTTAGTGCAGCCTTAGTTGCTCATTCAAAAATTGAACTCAGTGCAGTTCTCGACAGGCCAAGGTCTTTTAGCAGATTATAGAGAGAATTGGCTGGTATACCTCGCTCTTACTTCTACCACATAAAATTAACCACATAGCTATTTTTGGTTAGTTCGTTTGTTAGATCGTTAAATTTATTCAATTTCATTGTATGGTCTTTTGGAATGTTAGTTTCCCATGGTACAGTAAGCCTGCATTGCATGTTATGTGATCCCGTGAAATTTACAAGAAAATATCATATTTTTAGCAAAACCGACTTTAATTTGTTATGTTGCCTCGATAAAGGATCTTTATCACCTCTAATCTGAGCCTCTACGGAAACTTATAAACTTTCAGGCAAAGACATTAAAGTAATAAACTAAATCTATTTGATTACGGACAAACTTAACAGCGTACGAGTATTTGTTTACCTCTGCAATAATTCCAAAGACACGAGTGTGGGCAAAGTCTCCTGTAAGTACCTCTCGAAAATCTTATAGATAGTAAAAGGGTAAGGTATGTTACGGGTTACGGGTTATGCATATTCGAACACAATGCCGAGTATTTGCAAAAACGTGGTAATATAGATAACAATAGAGCTTTTGGTATTTTGAGCTTTTGCTTATATGGTGTCTTACATGCCTTTAGTGAGTTTTATAGGGAAAATTTATAGTAACTTCTATACTCGATTTTGTAAGCATTGAAAATCTCGAGAAACTTTTGTACTCGATTTTGTAGGCATTTAAATGAAAACCTATGTTCGGAATATTAATTTATCGTTGCGAGATTGGTTAAATTGTATAAATTTATGTTTGGCATTAAGTTTGGCATACATTTTGCGAAGCGCTAACGATTTAATGTAGATACATGTGTGTATAGGTAACCGGATTACGTGTGGTCATAAAATGAATCGATTCTCTGGTTGAACAACAGTAGGTAATTTGGTTAACGACAAAATGAATACATAGTTATTTATCAACGATTCTTTGTTCAAGGTGCTGAGTTAAAATGATAACGACTACGCGGGAAATGTAACCGGAGAAGTTCACCACCACATACTGAACTGTGTCTAAGAAAACTGTGAACAAAATCAAAATGGCTGTATCAAAAGGTAACTATTACAATTTAATACCTTTTTAGATGGTGTACAGTGGCAAAATTTCCCCGTTAAAATGGAAATGCTTTGTTATGAAAATACATATTATAATGTGGTAAAATAACTCTTAATAACTCTTAGTAATCGTAGTATTATATGAGAATCAGGTCATCGCTTCAGCACACGAAATACAAATTTTGTTTGATTCGCGTTGCGCGCCTCACTTTCCTTCTTTCTCGCGGCGTTCGCAGAATACCAAGTGTACTTGCGGATTGTTGCGGCATTATACTTGGCAAAAAGTATTTTTGAACATTAGGATTCAAGTTTTTAATTGATCTTTTCCTAATTTCATGCCTATGTTTTAATTAAAAAAAATATATTTAGGTAACTACCTACCAAATAAATATTATTCTTTTAAAATAAATATAGTAAGCAGGCTTGAGTAATGAGCTTTGCTTTTGCTCCTTGGTAGCTTGGTAAAAATACGATTGTTAAAGTGATCTCACTTTCTTGACGTCACAGTCTTATCTCGCGTTGTCTCTTTGAAGTTTAGACAGATACTCGCTTTCAGCTACCTTTTGAAATAAAAACAAACAGAATATTTCGTGTTAATTTTTTTCCTCAATTTAGGTACAGACAGCCACACATCAAGTTTCCACGAACTGTCAAATTTTCTCGATAGATTGTGAATCTAATATAAGGTACCTTGAAGCTCAAAGCCGTTTGGAGAAAATTGTCAGTTTTAGATAATCTGACCTGTACTATATGTACATTATTTGCTAATTTACCAAAATAATTTTAAATACTTTGTCCATTTTTTCTGTAGCGATTAAGGGTAATATAACTTAAATGGCAATCACAAACATTATATTTTCAAATTTTCTACCAGGAAGGATCTATGTACGAGGGGCTACGGTGTTGGTCATGGTTGGGGGGACGTCAGCCCGGGTCGCTGGCAAGATGGGTGGCTACTCCAACAAAATGGGAGGTAAGTTCCACAAATCAATATCACGTCATCTCTATTTTTTTTGTAACCTACACAATAGAATTGTAGGTTGTTTACTAAGTATAAGATTTTAAATAAGTACACTGCTCCCACCCACTCGTTATCTAGGCAGCGCAGTAGTTTGCGACTGTTAAATGTTACCGTATGTTTTGCAAACAGTTGCCTATTAACAGAGTTACATCAAAAGGCAATCTATCAAATGTCATCGACAGATTTCAAACGTCCCTAGAAGTGTGAGTAGGTATAGAGAAGTTATACTTAAAAGTTTGAAATTCTATTTATACTCGTATATTTGAAAGGTCTCCAAATGTTAACTTTTGTTTCTGAACGTTTGGATTTTACTTAATGTCACAAAGTTGCTAACACTACTCTGGGAGCTCACTCAACGAAGTTCAAAATTGGTCCGCATGCTCATTTAAGAGGTAACTTTACGTTACGAATATTTTGAAAGATCGTATTGTATGCTCGATAGCAAACGGTGTAAATTTCAGTATTTTGTGTGATTTTATTAAGAGATTAAAACAGCTAAAGCTGACAGATTCGGTAGTCACGGCCGACGACGCCGCGCCGTCGGTCGCCAGCTAATTGTTCCTTCGCACTCATTGTCTATAAAAACAGTATAGAAACTTCGATCAACATTGGTATTATTGATTGAACCTTGGATTAAAAATTGAGAAAGCTATTGACAGACGTGCAAAGAAACTCACAGACGATGAAATACAACCAGATGGCTACAAATCCTCGAACATCACCGCCTGGTAGCGTGTCTTAATGTTTTCTGCAGATTAAATTTCAGGGAGTGTGCACAAGAACTTGTCGAATTAATTCCGCCTGCGCCTTTTTATCTTCGGACGACAAAACGTGGACTGTGTCTTAATCCGTACGTGGTTGACATTCCTCCATTGCGCACGCATTCGCATCTTCCTTTATTATGCGAACCGCTAGGGAATGGAATTCCCTTCCTTCGTCATTATTCCCCGATTCATATAATAAAGGAATCTTGAAGACAAGCTGGCTGGCAGGCCTTCCTTGATAAATGCACTATCCAATACAAAAATATTCTTTCAAATCGGAATCGCAGAGCAATGTTTCATTTGGTACGACTAGGAAACAAAATTTTTACTTGGAATGGAAGGTTATATGAAAAAAGTCGTCGTGTATAATACAAGCCTGAATATAGACGCCACCGTTAGGTCTATCCAAAATTTACTAAAGTTAGTGTTAGTGCCAGATTTCATTCTAAGTAAACATTAGCTGTCGTCACGTCACCTCTTGACTTGAATCTATATATCTTGAAAATTCCTTGAAAATGAAGCCCTTGCCAAGAATTGTAATGGAATTAAAAATATGAATAGGTATTGAGAAAATGGGTCTTGACAAACAAACAAACGGATGATAAAGTGATAATTTAAGGGTTCCGTTTTTTTCTTATAAAGAGAATTTAAGAAAGGCAATTTGTGATTTTACAATATCTCATGTAAACAAGAGAAAAACTTATGAACACTAAGTTTAGTTTTACAGTAAAAATTCGATTCGGAGAACATTTATTGGTATTTGGAGTCATTCTCTGTCGCGCTATGAAAAATAAGTACAAGAGTTGTAACCCAAGATGATTCTCAATAAGCTATTGTGACTACAATAATATTGGATTAAAATGCAGAAGCGTTGTGATCTGCTATCCATTATTTAGTAGGTACTTAAACTCCATAATAAATTTTATTGAAGTATTCGAACAATTCTAAAAGGATTGGTAAATTTTTGTACTTAAATATATAAATTCTTGAACATGGGTGCCTAGATATATCTGCACTTATCCCAGTGATTCAGAAATGTACCTTTAGCTTCAGCTATGCGACTTCCAGCTAACCACATAATTGAATGTCTTACCTACCAGCATAATAGATGCCTAATGCATTCCATCCAGGAGTTACTTTGTGGTGGTACGTACGTACGTACGTGCATGTGTGTGTATGTACGTCAATTAGCTGATTCCTGAACATCAAACTTTCAATTCCAAGTGATTTAGTAAAACTTTACTTAAACAAATTTTTCTCTCAGAGGGTTTTTCAGTATATTTAAATTAAAGCACCATTTCGCTCGGGCTCATCGTTTTGTACTTTATGAAAACTCCAGACAAATAACACAAGAGTATCATTTGCGTTTCATCACAAAAAAAGTTGCTTCAAACGTAAATCCCAGGGCCGTTGTGTTTTGAAATAGATGAGGCATATGTCTAGCAGTGGACGTCCATCGGCTGATTCTGATGATGGAACTACGTCATAGAGTAACTATATTATATAATAGGTACTAATTACCTATTCAATTCGGCAAGAGCATTGACGCAGCTAAGGATTTTTCCTAGGGGCAGCCGTCTAGTTGACCTTATATTCATTCAGAAATTATTTTTTCATATTCCGAATGAATTTTAGGTTGGGTAAAGGGGTACCTAAGGTGTTACACGATACGCCAATAATCAAGGGTAATGTACTACAATTCTGCAACTACATTCAGTTGATAGTTTACACTGTAAGATGGTGAGTTGCTTATTTAAAAAAACCTTTGACATTTTTATTTATGAAAAAGGCTGGAATATATGTACTTACATTATAATACAAATCGGTATTATCGAAGACCCCTTAGCTTATTTCCCGTTGCTACTTAGTCCAGGAAATAAGGCTCAAAAAATGCAAAACCTCGCAATTTTTATCGATTGCATAAAATTTGGAATTAAGCTCGTCTTACCCTATACTTCAAAATCTATATCATTCCGATGGGCGCTGTAAGGGTGAAAATATTCCCTAATTGTCAAAACTTAAACATTAAGATGGGTAAAATTTGGTTTGGATAAGTTGAACAATGATTGATTTATGCATTAAAATAAAATTATAGACTATTTCAACACTTAAAAATTTGCGCTTGTTAGAGCTTACTGAAAATAACATTGAGTAGGTACCCCCAAAACCTTAATAGCTAGACAGAGTTACTAATAAGAAATGTTACTGCCTGATATATTAGCAATTAATTTAATTAAGTATTTTGAAAATTTTCTACCCTTATAAACTACCACTTAAAACATTTAAATTCTTATAAACTAATTTAATAGATATAAATAGGGAAAAACGAGAATTTATTTAAACAAAATACACTGCCTACTTACAAACATAGATAAATGTAAAACTTACACAAACACAGATAAAAATAAGTTGTTTTGTGCGCATCATCATCCTCATCTTCTTTTATTACTGGTGCACTATTATAACAATTCGCACCAGAGTCGAGAGAAGTCCAATTTCAATGTCATCCACCACACCGTTTTTTACATTGACAAAAATATTTTTAAGAAGTTCTACAGGTGCAGGCGGTTTGTTTATTCTAATGGGGTGCAATGAACGTTCCTTCAAGAACCACCCCCAATCTGTTGTGGGGTGGGTTAGCTACAATGTGAAGAGATGGCGCTGTCTTGCAGCCTAATAATTACTAGAGAAAACTCCCTTTCTCTATCTTCTGTGAAAATTAAGTAAATCCATATAAGACAAAAAATTGCGAGTCATAATGCTTCATTTCCTGGACTAACTACATAGTTAGTTAATTTGAAGGGAATCGCGGAAAAAGTTTAGGTCATATATGAATTACAACTTGATTCTTTTTCTACTTTACTCGTATCACTTTTTTCACCTTCCGCTCATCATTTTCGTGGTGTAAGATAATTTTCTTGTAAAAAAATATGAATTCTAACTAATCACTATATTGGGTTAAATACTTTTTTAAATGTAAACACATAGCTCTCTATTGACAACTAAATCCCATACCCACCGTTACCTTCATAAGAAAGTCACTGGGAAAGTATTTTATATTTTCGGTGGAAAGTGTGCTCCATCGGGAACCCACTTACGTAGTTTTTTTAAACAGAAGAATAATTGATAGTAAGTATTACTTAAGATAAAGATCGGAAAAGCAAAGCAATTATTTATTGGCATGAAAGTCCGCAACGCAGATTAATCTATATGCTGTAGTCTGAGGCCCAAATTTCCACTCCTTCGTTTAGATTGAACAAACAAATGGGATTCTAAAGAAAATTTAACTAGAAAAAATCCACGCCGTTCAGGTTTCAGAAGGGTTTGGCCGAGTTTCTTTACTAGTAAAAATTTCTTTAGATTTAAACAGCCAGCAGTCAAATGTTTAAAATAAAAATATAATTAACAAATGTAATGGCGGCACGCCGGGTTGTAGCAGTAGCTGGCGGTTACCAACTCGCACTTGGTGGTGGAGGGTCGAACATGCAGGAGTCTTGACGGTGCTGTAGTGGACTGTATCGATGTAATAAAACTCCCGTTGTTCGTTATCCAAGAAAATCGGTGGGCGCATGGAATGGATAGCCGGTGAGGAGGCTTCAGGTTCCAGAGAGACCCCTTGTTTCTTCTTATTCCGCTATCGGTAGGAGCGCCGGTTGCTGAATGACGTGTCGAACCTGTTTTCGACCCGATTTTTATATGTGCGTGCTGAGCTGGACAGCGATCCATTACCTCACCCCCGCTACACTTTATTATTCATTTATTTATTACATACATTATCCCGAGCTTAAATCTATAGGTACATACATGGGGCATACAAATTAGCATATTTTAAGCGCATTTGCGCGGCCGAAATCATTATAATTTAGCTGTGGCGGGCGGCAAAAATCCGTATGCGCGATATTTTATATCCCGTGGAGGGCCATGGGCCACACCCGCGACAAGGTATTTTTTCCCCACCACGCGCTCCTCGCGCGTGGCGTATGATCCGCGCTTAGAGCGCTCCATACAAATAGATTTATCCTATTTTTCGCCCTATTTCGATATTTATTGTTCTGAAACCTGTTTATTTATGTAGTTCTATGTCTTATTGACCAATTCTAATAAGATTCTAACAACATTAATCTTATACAATGCCTTCATAGCACTAAAAAGTTCTAAAACTAAAGTCTCTAAAAACTTACTTAAACCTATTTTATACCTAATCTATGTATTTAATCCTATAGGGCAAGTAAAAACACATAAGATAAGCTCTTTATTATCAAACTTATGACTATAAATAACTTAGTAACAACGGGAATCTATTCTTACTTTACGTCTTATTTGCGCCTATAATCCTAAACTAAACTATATAAAAATTAATTATTTCTATTCCTATGCCTATCTATTATTGATATAAACACAAATAATAATGATCAAAACACATTATTGCGATCAGAGGACTATGGTTCGTTACGATGGCAACCGTCTATCGAAATTTGTTACTTTAAATCTTCTATTATATCCAAATTACGAATTATTTCAACAAAATAACAATGAAATCCTATACAAATGACTTATAACTTAACATTCAATGTAAAATGACACTTATAGATCCATTTTGTGATTGTTCATAATTAAACTGTTCATAACGTCACACTTCACTTGTAAGTTTCATATCTTGTTATGTCGGTCGTCTCGTACAAATTGGGAAAACGGAAAACATTAACGCTCTGAAAATAGGACCGAAAATTTTTTTTTCTTTCTTTGATGAAATTGTTGAATAGGTTCCTCTTTACATTTTGTAAGGTATATAATTACGTCGCTTTTGTCATTTGTTTGTTCTTATTATGTCTTAAGACTTATTGGATTACTGTTCTAATCTATACTTACACAAATATTTGCCTCTAAAGACATTGGAGGCGGCCGTAGTTATCTAATACCTATCCCATTTGGTTGAAAGTGGCATCAAGTTCGAACTGCGTCAATATATAACTTCATAATAACAGGAATGTGTTGAACTAACTGTTATTATACCCATAACATTAACATAAAAAACCGGATATGTGCGGGTCGGACTCGCACACGAAGGGTTCCGTACTATTATCTATAAAACATTATATGTCAATCTATTATAATATGTCAATCTTCATTTATAATAAATTGCCCATTTATCTAAGAAATATTGAACATTTTTTTTTGTTCTATTCTAAATTAAAATAATATCTATTATGCAAAAGTCCTTATTGCCTTTAAGAGTTCTATGGTAGCTGAATTTTTCGTGTTGTTAGTGATTATGTTTGAAAGTAATTAAAAAAAATTACAAAAAATGTTTGCAATGCCCTTGCAGGGTTCATGTTCTGATATCTCATTTTAATTTTAAGAACCTATGTACCAACATGAAGCAATAAAGATTATGATTAACATTAAACACAATATTACAATAACGAACAAAAAACGGCAAAAAAACCCTTGGCCCATTTTCTTAACCATCTACGAAAGAATAATTTTTATTTACTTTTTCCTAACTGGATAAGAAAATCGAAAAAATAGAAAGACAATTATTTATGAAAATGTAAAAAATATTGTTATTTACTTACCATTAAAGAAAAAGTGTTCATAAATTTAATTTCCGTATACATATAACTTAGTTGTATGAATTTATCGATTTGAAAATTTTCAGCGTTGTGGATTTTAGCAAAAATTAATAGTACTTATAAAAAATCTTACCTAGGTTAATGAAAATATGAAATTACTTTTTTTAACCAGGTACTTACGGTGGGGTGCACTAACATTGTTCAGAATGAATTAGTATAAAATCTAGTTAACAAATGTTTAATTCTCAAAATATTCAGTATTTCAACCGACAAAAAAACAACGGGGGAGGTTATCATGGTATGATCACGCATAACTTTTTACAGAGAAGTTTAATTTTGCAAATTCTTTTTTTATTGGAACGGATCCTTCAATCTATCTTAATTTATATGGGGCCAACTTCGAAGTATACCCTATACTTCGAAGCGTTAGTTAGCTATGCCGGTCACCGACGGATTCCGTGACGGCAGCCCTCTCCTGTAGTTCTGCCCTACATGAGAGGGCCGACAAGTGGCGATTAAATAAAAACATGATGATACAAAATTCATTTTAATACAAGCGTGTTCCAATTTAAAATGGCCTTTATATGCAATTACATTAAATTGTAAGTGGAAAGTTCCGGATACTTTTAGTGCACTCTATTGAGTTGAGACTGGTTCTGTGATTTAACGGTAGGTTGTCATGAACGATACATACCTACAAGAGAATGGCGATCTCTCATAAATATGAGAGAAATTGAGCTTTGCGTCAATTACATTAAAGCGGGCAACTAATGAATAGTGTAAAGTACACAAAGCACGCCATTGGCAGCCAAATTCTTATTGAATAGGTAGGCACTTACTTTTATGTCTTAATACTTCTAATAATAAACTTACATTGTTTTTGTTTTTCAGGGAAATCTACAAGTGGCATCAACGAAGAGATTATTTGGATCAGTATAAGCATGGCAATAGCCATCGCGGTCCTCATAGCAATCGCTCTATGCTACATCCTCAAAGAGAAGTGTAGTAAAAGAAAAGCATACAGAGAACAGTCATGACGATATAAAGAAGAGTTTGCGAGGCACGCCCTGGCAGACTCGTTGATTGATCTCGACTTCCCGGACTATACGCTCTACCCGCAGTACTCGCCCGATGGCAAGGAATACTATTACAATTTCCACCGCTTTTCCTATATAAGAAATAGTTTTAAATTACCACCCAAAGACTATCCCGTCAAGTCCCAGGAGGTATATATCAATGCATGAATCATTTTTGAATAAGTTACACTGCTTGTGGTAGCCATCTGGAGTTTTAAGATCTAAATATGTTTATGCAGGTACAGTCTACAAATATATAGGATACAGGCTATAATGATATACCTACTTTAACAAGTCCACACATTATTCAATATTCATGGATGACATTGTAGTATAAAAACTTGTCAACATCCCGGTATTCGTTTAATTTGGCTCTCAAATTTTACGGAAGAGAGATTAATTATACTGTTAGATGCATTACTTTATTAAAATAAAATAAGTAACTTCACTTGTATTGCTATGCTCTCTAAGTAAGTAAAGTAACTGAGGCAATTGTGTGGAAATCAGAAACCACAAAGGTACCACAAACACTGTATATACCTGAGACAAAAAAAATACACGGGAATTTGACTGGATCAATGATACTTTACTTAAGTCATTGGACTGAATAGTAAAATTGATGAAATAGTAATATAGATTGTGTTAGAGAGGTGTTAGATATTTTAGATACCTACAAAGACTACCTAATGGCATAGTCCGAGGTGCAAATACTTTGTAAAATATGTGAAATAGTCGGAGTATATAGTTCTCTAAAATAATAAGTAAACTCAAGCCCAAAATATTATATGTTGTATAGTATCATATATTTATGTCGTCTCGTCGCGGCATTTTGGCTAAAAGGCTGTCAATTTATTTATGCCGTGGTGTCGCAACCTTCAATGTTCAGCCCTTCAACCTTCGCATGTGATAAAATGTGAAAACCAGCTAAATGATTTTTTTTTTCTTATTAAGTGTATGTGACTTTGATAATCATCGAGTTATGCATTTTTAAAAACTTTTAGGCGTTGTTAATACCTACATCGAAATATGACGTACCTACTGTAAATAAAAATTTTAGAAAATTTGTGATGTAAGTATGTATAGTAATTATATATTTTTATTTTTGTGTAAAAAATCAAAAAATAAAGTATATCATTGTTAACTACATAGAATATCTTGACAAATATTGAAGGTATTAAACTTATCAACATGTCATGAAGTACTACCTCACTGATTTCAGGAACTAACTGGCAAATTACATAATTATGTGAAAATATTAATTTATAATTACATGTTGTATAACATAAAGAACCGATGCAAGAAGTTGTGTAAATAAATAATATTTTGGTGTTATTGAAATAAAAATAAATCAAAACCAACTACAACAAAATATTAGCTATTCGTTTATTTGTTAATAAAGTCAACATACAAATCAGCATATTTGATAAAGATTCTTTAAGAAAACATTTTTTTGCAAATAGTACCTCTGTACTACCACTTATACAATAAAGTACCAAGCAATATCCATGAGTTAACCATAAATAAATTCAAATATAGTATAAAAAAAGCACTTATTAAAAAAGCTTATTACAAAGTGTATGATTATGTTACAGACAAAGATGCTTGGGTTTGAACTGATCCAATCATTCCAACAGGTTTTCTATATTTAATAAATCATGATTGTATTGACGCTGTAACAACATAATAATTTGTAAATGTAGTTACATTAAACTTTTAATGTTATGGAGTTTTTTTCGCTCGTTTTTCTGCGCAACTAAAAAATATGTCCAATAAATAAGGGAAAAAAAATTTTGGACGATTCAAAACAGTTTTACTATACATCCAATTTGAATAAACACATATTGATTTCTGATGATGGCGGCTACCTTTGATATGAATTTGCAGTTTTGTCTACGAAACTTTCATAACATAGGGGCAAAATTTAAACTCATTCGAACAAATAAGCGTAGGTTAACTTTGCGTAGGGTTAGTATATTGACTTCCAAGGCCTGCTGTCATAATATGTGAAAGGCTCAATCCCAGTGAAACAAGCTATTCTTGAGAATTTCAGCTTATCAAAATTGATGTAATAAACCTGCTCTCAGCTCTTAATCCATAAAATTATACATACGTAAGATTATATATGGAGGTACGTTACTCATTAGGAATTCTATGCGGCCCAGGCTGGAATGGATAAGAAAAAACATGAATAATGTTGGTAATAAATTGAGCTCTCAGAAACTTTACAAATGTGCTTGTAAATGTTTTCATAACCATTTTGGTATGTTAAGATTGCTATACAAATTGGTAAAATCTATTTACCTGTACAAATAATAAGTATTCACAATTTGTAAAAGTGTTACTTTAGTGTTAAATAACATCTACTTATATCCGAATTTTAAAAGGAACACTATTTTAACAAAAACAATGTAGATAATGTGCCAAAGTGTTTCGTGTAATATAAAATTAATTATTTAACGTGGAATTTAATACATGAAATGTGTATTTACTGCATATTAAGCTATTTAATTTAAATTGTACACGATTGAAATACTAATTGATTTATGGGACAAATGATACTACTCTAAAAGAGAAAAAGAGGTGGAAAATTCTTATCTCCAAAAGAATTTGATTAACATATTTATTCTATGTAACACATTTGGTTAAATTGATCAGTACCTAATCATGTTTTTACCTATTTCAAACAAAAGACGTGTACCTATGCATGTTTTAGTGCATGTTGTTTCAGCGGTATTTTCATAAAATTGACAACCTATTTAGATTTTTTTTTACAAGGTAGGTTATACTCCCGAGTTGTCATAGCCACAAAAAGCATTAGATAATGGGGCTGAATTAATCGACCGAACTCTTCAAAAAAAAAATGCAGCTCAAGATTTGAAAACTTATTATTGTGTAGTTTCAATGGACATTTGTGGTCTTCATCATCAGTTTTCATCATATATTTCACCATGGTGATTTCACAAGTTACTTTGATACTTCAAATATTATAATAATATCTGAAGTATTAAAGAGAATATTATAATAATATTTGAAGAGTTCCTTCGATTTCGCCAAGACAAAATCAGATTTCTTGGACGGACTACTTCAGAAGTATACTGTTTTAAACCATTATTTTTAAATCGGTTTATAAACGATGGAGTTCTCAGCTTACAAACAAAAAAATAAAAAACAACATAACGCCGTCCCCGGAGAATGAAATTATAACTGCTAGTATCTTAGTTTTAGTTTTATATCATTTTTGTCATCTGTGCTGGATTCGACATGAGATTTATTTTTCCAAGTTAGACTTATCTAACTAGACTGTTGGTCCTAGGTATGCGTAGTGGTTAAAAATTTCAAATGAAGTGTTTCCAATTTTAACTGGAGTGAGTACTACATATATGGACTATTACATGAATTTTGTCTTAGACATCTTCGACTCGAGACACACACACTTTGGGGCGCACTACTAAGATTTTCTATCATTGTGTTTACATCTTCCAAACTCTCAGGCATAAGGACTACATCATCGGTGAAACGAAGGTGTGTAAGGTACATACCATTAATCTTAGTGCCATTCCACTCTAGACTAAAACTGGCCCGAACGCTGACTATCTGAGCTGGATTTAACGATAGATCTCTTTCTCAAAGTACTTACATAACTGGACTTTAACCCAACCCAAATATAAAGTCAACAACTACGTGTTTCCCACGAATTGGGAAATACTACAGTGTAGTATTATTACAAATTCTTTGGGAAAAACTGCTGAAATCTTCGAACATTGTATTCGGGTCTTCCAATGCACAGCCATAACAGCCATAAAGAGATACCACAGCCATAAATAAGTATCGGCTTACTTGTGCTTAGAATCTATAACCTTCCTTTCATCAGGTGCTTAAAAAGAGTATAAATACCGATAAAAACACTCAATCTCTCACGAATTTCAGTCTTAGAACAAATTATGCTATTGTTGCAAAATCCATCGTCATGTTGCTTAGAATGTCTAGGTTCAAGCTGTTTTAAAGAACTTTGGATAAATTGGACTTTGTTGGATTTGAAAGCTCTAGTGGATTTGGTGTTGTGCTGTAAAGGTATTTATTGGTCCGAGTATGAGCGACCTATTCGGCGAAACCTTTTGACATCTTTTCATCAATACGACAAGGTCGATCTCATGTTGGACTTTACCATTCGGCTCATCCAGATTCATTACATTTTTTTTTTATTTCCTAAATATCTCCCTTCTAAATTTTTGCAGTTATCTTTGAATTCTCCGGGGACGGCAATAAATGATTCAATATTTTTGTGTTTATTACATTTTGAGTTTTAAATGACTGCTTGAGGTTTGTGTAATATTTTGACACACTGCAGCTTTGACCGCCAATTAGCCTTTCAAACGTTGATTTATATTTAATAAGTGGGTGTACCTATACACATGAAGAAAATGAACCTATCTAAAGACCAATGTAATTATTATTAATTTAAGAAAAAATAAAGGTATAAAATTGTTATAGTTTTATTAGTTTCACATCTTACTTTAAACATATACATAATAATTTTTCTCAAGACAGGGGCCGAACCGAATAATATTGAATGCTCCATCTAATAAATAGCCTAACAGTCCCCAGTAAATTATAAATACTTAAAGCCTTATGATAGGCCGCTAAACATAGCCCTAATGTATGATGTAGGTAGTATTTACTTTAGGGAGATATTTAAATGATCCTCAAAAAACACCTAAAAATACTTACCTATAATTTAATTTCATGTACCCTTAGCACGAACCAATATCGAATTCGTATCGTTTGCGAGTACGAAATGCCAAGCGCGCTAAAATTCATCCATATAAAAACTTCGACAGCTTGCAATGCCCCAATGCAAGGGTAGTTTAGGCAACGCAAGAATGCCAATTTATATAATTTATTTTGATAATAATTCGAAAAAATGTTTTTCGAAAAACCCTGGAGTATTTTAAAACAGCGAGCGTTTTTAAACTGACGACGCCGTTTGTGAAACGCGAAATCATACAAATTGCCTGCGACATGTACACGTTTTTCTTTATTTCTGGGTTTTAGTAAAAACACCAAGTTTCGAGGTAATCGAAGTGCGCGTTAAAATTCATCCATATATAAAAATTTCGTCACTCTCCAAATTCCCTTTTAGGGGGGTACCTAGTTTAGGAAAACTAAAAATGACATAGGTACATTATAATTGATTTAGATTAGTATTCGTGCCAAGTTTCAAGTCGATTAACTCAAGAAATGAGTTATTAATACTTTTCATGTCCTCTTTTAAAGCCTTCGGGGGTGAATTCTACCCCCAGACCTCATAAGGAACCTATTTGCTAAATTTGGAGTCTCTAGACCCGGCGGTTTTAGCTGTGCTCTGGTTGATGTGTCAGTCTGTCAGTCAGCCAGTTTCTTCTTTTATATATTTAGATTGAGGAGCTCAATTGCGAAGTACGTTCGGTCTTGATTGTTGACGTTATATAATTTTTAATCGGTCATAGAATGAGTGACCAATAATGGAGCTCCTCCGTGCTCGTGTTAAGCCTTTAGTCCCAGCTGCAGCTGCAGTCGTTATCACCCACCAAGCCGCACTAGTCCTACGCGGTGAGTTAAGACCCGTTCTCACCTATTACAACCACATGGAAGGCCTGTGACCAAGTAGTAGGTAACCCGTCAGTTAGATTTACTTCAAAAGGGTGAGGGGGCAACTGTCCTCCCTCCCTGGAAATCTCGCAGAACAAGTATGAACTCGCCTAATTACTAATTAAAGTGTAAGCGGGGCCTTAGGCTGTAACTTTTTAATAAACCGGGCAGTAGATACTGGCATAATGCACTGTTAGGGTTACCATCCGTCCGGACTTTGTCCGGCTTTTTAAATTTAGATTTTTTTAATTAGATGGAATATGAGTAAAACTACATATTAAGTTATATCAAATAAGTCAAATGATCTTTATTACGTTCTCATTTATTTAAAACAAAATATAAATCATCTTAATTACAACGAGACCCCCCTCGCGATGCGAGCATCTGTTACCACGAGTATAATATCACTGTAACTAAGTGGGTGATGTTTGCATTTTGTGACGTAAATGTCCGGACTTTTATCGAAACCTCCGAATTTTTGTCAGGACTTTTCAAATTTTGAAATAGTAACCCTGTGCACGGTGTAATTGCCAAAATACCGCGCGCGACGATGGCGGACGAATATTACCGAATCTAACCGAGCGTTCGAAAACTCGGCTGTATTCGATAATCTTCAGTAGGGAGTTGCGAGTGACTATTTTAGCATTTATTTTATTCACTGATGCCAGATTGGGGGACTCCCCCAAAATATGGGGTTTTTTAAAGCGATGGGGGGGGGGGGGATTTGGGGGGATTAATGAGGGGAAGAAAGAACAATGGCCAGATTTCTATATGAGCTGGACTAGACTTTTATTTTTGTTGTCCCTTAATAAACTATAGTGAGAATGGTTTGTTTTTATGTTATAAATACTATCCCGTTTGAAAATCTTATATAAATAGCCACGATTTTTTAAAATATCGCCACTTATACTTTTGAGGTTAGCATCAACAAGTACCTTTTACCCGACTGCGGCGAAGCCCAAAATGTCGTAGCGAAAAGCGAAGAGGGTAATATTCTAAGAGCCAGTGATCCGCAGACTTACGGTATAGTAGCAAACTTCATATTAATGCTAGTTATACTAATTCATCTGCCGTAGATCAAATGGTGGTTCACTATTCCCATAGAGGGTTCCTTTAGGCGTGCCGAGAAGTCGAAAAGCATGAAAATCGACTTTCAAAAACGTGATCGCAGCATGTCTACCGTTTTGATATCTTAAAATATTTATTTTTTTATATAGAAAAACTTAATGGCAGACACTTGTTGCGGTTCCTTCTATATTTTATAATATATCATAGTTTCCAAATTTTCATAAAATTTACGTTATTTTAGCGAAGCTAAAAAGTATATATGTTATTTATATTATTGACGTGACAACGTCTTAAATTAGGTTGCGGCTGGGAGTCACTTATGAAAAAGTGTAACGCTCGGTAACGTTACGATGAGTCTCTCGTGTTAAGTTTAAGTTTACATGTACAATGTTTTAGTAAACAAAATATATTTCTATAGTAAAAATTGTGCAATTCTTATTTTCATTCAATTCCTTGTTCCTATTGTGCAATTTAATTATATTCATATCAATAAATATTCTACCGAGAAAAAGACGTTGTCACGTAAAATCTTCGCCCGTAAAACCGACTTTACAGGCAACCATTTTTTATTATACATGTATATCTAAAAAGCCAGACAGATAGGTCGGTTCTAAAATACAGGCAGACAACATAATAGTTTCGCAGTCATGCTAATGGAGATATTGATATTGACTTTCTCTCTCTTCATTTCGCAGGGAACTAGGATTTCAGCAAAGCTACAATTTATGTATGTTTTTTACATCATTATTATACATGTATATCTAAAAAACCAAACAGATAGGTCGGTTCTAAAATGCAGACAGACTATATAACAGTTTCTCAGTCATGCTAATGGAGATACACGATATTGACTTTCTCACTCTTACTGGCAATGCCAGCGAATCAGGATGAATACATGTGAACAGTGTTTTGTTAATTTTATAATTTAGAACTCTTATTTTCAATCATAAATATAGTTTTTATTAGGAAATCAATATTTTTTTTTCAATGACAATAATTTTGCTATTTATTTTGTTTTAGCACAACGAACAACTCGTAATTCAAATACAGAATAAACCTAATTAATATTGGCTACAAAAAAATCAAAATATTTCACTGTTTCTGTCTTCTTGTGTTTCTTCGTCAGAACTGCAGATTTCCGATGACTCGATACAGCACTCCAAATCTTCCAAGTTTTTGAAATTTTCATCGCCTTCGTCATCAGAGATACTACATTCTGTAAAAAATAAAACATTATACATCATGGCAAATGCGACTCTATTAATAGTAACAGGATATTTTATTGTATTTCATTGAATTACCTGATGGACATTGGACCGAATCGGCTACTAAACCTGGCAGCTGATCACCATCAAACCATTTGAATAAATATTTGTCTTGATGATTAATCCACCCATATTCTTCTGGATGTAATGTTGACGGGCATCGTTTATCAGCATTATTCCAAATATTTGATATATATATTGTTCGTAGGAAATGTTGCAACAGCTCGCTCTTGCACGGTGGTAAACTGCTTCCATCAAAATTGCGGACTTTAATACTAAATTGTTCGTTGATATCAGCAGCCTTATATGTATCAACGAACAGCTGAAATGTGGCATCATTAACGTCTATGCATTTCTTCTTCTTCAAATTATATATTTCACAAGTAAATTTATGAATAATAATGAAGATTTTATTTATTCTAGTCTCTGTTAAATTATAATCGCCGAGAACTGCAAAAGCTTCTTGATAACTAGTGTTTTTCTTTAATAAAGAGAAAGGTCTTTTCTTTCCTTTATTATAAAATGAAGGATTGTAATCGCAGCCAGTGAAAGCATGGAAGCCAAGTAAGCTTCTACAAGTTAGTTCACCTAGATGTTCGTGAATTCTTATGACATCTATGATTCGTTCATTATTACCTATTCCTATCTGCATCCAAACATGCGAAGAAGTATTTTTCAACTTATGCATATTACCAAGCATCATCACAAGTATATCGGTATCAGAGCCTCTGATAACGATATTGGCTTCATCACTGATGCTACATGCGTGATAAATAATTTTACTATCAGCTTCTTCGTGCAACTCACAACATAAATCCTGAACAATCTTTGATTCGACTTATTTCCATTACCAACATATGAATAACATTGTCGGAAATTAAGATGTACAGTTTTGAAACAAACAATTACAAAGAAAAACAATTATTTTATTCAAATAGGTTCCGAAATGAATAACATATTTTGGTTTCTTAGGTTTCACGGTTTCTAAGAAACCAAAATATGTTATTCATTTCGGAACCTCACATCACTCATTAAATAAAACTAGTTGTTCACGGGTTAATGTACGAAACTTTATTTATTTATTGACGTTTCGCAGCCTTTACAGGCTACATTTCATTTCATTCTGACGAAGCAGCCGGTAAAGGCTGCTAAACGTCAATAAATAAATAAAGTTTCGTGCATTACCCGTGAACAACTAGTTTTATTTAGCATATATTCATCAAACCTTGTCTATCATTTTAACAACGGTGCTTGAATACTGAATCCCTGCGAGATGAAGAGAGAGAAAGTCAATATCGTATATCTCCATTAGCATGACTGCGAAACTATTATGTTGTCTGCCTGCATTTTAGAACCGACCTATCTGTCTGGCTTTTTAGATATACATGTATAATAATAATATCAATAACATATATAATTTTTAGCTTTGCTAAAATAACGTAAATTTTATGAAATTTTGGAAACTATGATATATTATAAAATATAGAAGGAACCGCAACAAGTGTCTGCCATTAAGTTTTTCTA